TACATCTACTTTTAGAGAAGCTAAGAAGAATATTTTCCCCCTCCAGTCAGAAGTCTGTTGGTGTCAGGCGAAGGGAGCTTCCTCTTTCCCTCCTGATCACTTTTTTGTTCAGAGCACAAGTCCCTCCCCTGCTTAGCTCACAGGTCCACTTCAGAGCTCTGTGCCCTTTGCATTTCTTCTCTGGCTGCCTGATATTCAGTCAGCTAGGGAGGCACACATCCTGTGCCTTAGACCGTCAGAGGACTGAACTGCTTCATTCACTTGAGCCCAACAACCAAAAGGAGCATTGTGATCAAGAAACGCAGTCTTGAGCAAGCCCATCAGGTCTGAACAGGCATTATACTACAGAGCAAGTAGGATAAGTACTACCCTGTACCAAGGAGCAGCCGAGGAGACTGATTTGAGTTGCATGGTACCCTTACGTTTTCTCGGCATAAACTATGACTTGGAAAAAATCTTACTATGAAATTTTAACCACTTGAGCCACTCTGACCATCACTGGAGTAACAAGGATTTGGTACAGTTTGACGGTGCATGGATAGGTTTAGCAATTTTTACCATTGTGTTTCTGCAGAAAGCCAATGACTTTTTCAAGCACTGTAGTTTTGTCCATTTTACGGGTGTTGCCTGGAAGCATGGAGCTGAGCTCTTTGATGAGAACATTGAATTGGTCACGTCTCTTCTTTTCAGACTTGTTACGGGAAGCCCTATAAGTATGAAAAAAAATAATGAATGGACCTAGAAAGAGTAATCATTACATATTCTTCTTGCGACATATTATTTAGAAAATGAACTCTCTATGCATCAGTGTGTGAACACTGATGGCTGGCACCAGGCAAAGCTAAATAAGCAACCAAGAACTGGCCTTTCTCACTGTCATCTTTGTGACCTCTTTGCTGGGACATCTTGAAAAGCAGCATGGTCCAATGGATAGAGTGCTAGGCTGGGAAACAACAGAGCTGGATTTTATTCCCATCTCTGCTCTGTGACTTTATTATCTTATTCCTTTGCTCACTCAGTGAGCATATGTTGGCTCTTCTGTCCTCCCCCTATCACTCCAGCAGCAGGACAAGATGTGGAGGAATTTCATGTCCTTGTTTTCTCATAAATCATAAAGCTTGTCTTGTGAGCACTAGTTTTCATATGTGTGTGTGTACTCAAAATTCATGCATTCTATGCTGAGGTACTTTCCGCAAAGGAAGATTGTAAGTAGACAAGGTAAATAATATGGCAACACATTTTGTTGGCCCAGAAAACAATTTATAATGCTCAAACTTTTGGGCTGATCAAAATACTTAGGTATTCTAAATTATTTCTTGGTCAGATAAAAAAGTAAAAAAACTATGGCAGTTTATAAGCATCCTGCACAAGTTTAATGGTAGAAAGGAAAGTTGGTCTTGTGGTTTAGTCACTGGACTGTGATTCTAGGTTCAAGTCCCAGTTTTGTCACAGACGCTATATGTGCCATTGGGTAAATCACTTAATTTCACTGTGCCTCAATTCTCTATCTGTAAAATGGGGATAATACGACTCCCTTTATGCGTCTTGTCTATTTAAATTGTAAATTCTTCAGGGCAGGGCAGGGTTGCTGGAACAATTTTTATAGTGAGGGAGCTGAGAGCAATTGAACCAAACTGTAAACTCCGTACAGTGGAAACTACTTCAAGCCAAGGGTTGTGGCAGCACCCCCCAAACTCTTAATTCCAGCATCTCTGGGGCAGGGACTGTCTCTTTTTATGTGTTTGTACAGTAGAACAATGCAGTCCCAATTTCATCTGGGGCTTTTAGACACTACCGTAATGCTACTATTATTGTTTCTAACAATCTGCTCAGTAGCTGTATTTTAATTTTTATTTATTGTACACTAATCTGTAAACTAAGAATTGTACTCTTCAGTGCACCTTTGGTCTCCCAGTATGAACATTTTTTTATGTACGTTAATGGACAGTTTTCTAGGAGGGTGTCTCCTAGGCTTATATGACCAGGCAGAAAATGAACTGTAAAACATGCCCGAACTTCTGCTTATTCCATTGAAAGGTTCCAGGCAAACAAGAACATCATAGGCTAAGATTTATTTGGCTTAAATGTATAACGAGCTAAAAATGTGGTTTAAAATAGACAGGATTTAATAATTAACAGGCCAACTTCTTCTAAAAGTAACACCAGCATCAATCCAGTAATACCACTGCAGTTAATGAAGAAACCTGGGCATACACTGGTGCAAATAAGAATAGAATTTAACCCAACTTTGACATTCCTCTAAGGTCCAATATGGCAATAAATATTATCAGTAGAGGTATCACAATGGAGGCTTCCATACGTTACCAGTGACGGGGTGTGTGTGTGTGTGTAATTTTTGTTTGTCTTGCTCTCTGGCCTGAATACTTTTTGAGATGCACTGGAAAGAAGCCAATCTTTGGTTATTTTACAGCTTTGAACACAAAAGGTTAGGTGGATGCTGTCTAATGGATTTAAGCTACTCCTGTTACACGTGCAGAAGACTGTTGGGACAAGATTTCAATCCACCTTCATCGTATTTCCGAACAATTCAAGTAGATTTAAAGAAAACCAACATTTTATTTTCATGTAATTCAATCCTCAGCCCGGGTTAGCTTGAAGGCTCCCATTCCTTCAAAAACTGAAACTCCCCAACGATATATAGAGTATGTGTTGCTTGCCCAGAAAGTAAAAGATGTTTTGACAGAAACCAGAAAGTACCTATTTTTAACACTTGACATTTTATTCACAAAGGAAATCTGAAAACTTCTGTAGTGGAAATAACTCTACCAAGAGCCAAATCTATAAACAGAGTAGAATCCTTAAAGGAAGAAAACAGAAAACCTGATTAGGTCATCTAATCTATCCCTTTGCCTATGCAGGATTCTATATTTGCTAGTGCTTTGTTCAGTCCAGATTTAAATGTCCTGAACAATGCAGGTTCCATCACTTCCCTTGGAAACTTATTCCATAGTGTAGTAAATCTCACTATTAGGGCACTATCCCTGATACTCTGCTGAAGTTGTCTTTATCTTAATTTCATACTATTCACCTTGATCACCTTGATGGATCAGTCCTTCAGCCCTCATACAGATTGCGCCAATCACAACACATCTTCCATTCGTCTCGTATCCTGGCCTTCCTTCTCCATGTGCAGCCATGTCTTTTCACGATAAAATCTTCCCTTCTCTTTGGAGGCTGGCCAAGTGGTCGTTTCAGTTCCTGTGGGTACCACTCAGCGACAGCTGTAGTCCATCGATTGTCAGTGAGCCTCGTTATATGCCTGGCCCATCACATTTTACTATGCCTGCTCTCAACAACGACATCCTGCACTCCACTCTGCTGTCTGATCACTTCATTGGGGACTCAGTCTCGCATTTAAATTCCCAGAATTCTTCTTTCCATAGCCCTCTCCGTGACAGACAGTGGCTGCTCCTCTGTCTTCATCAGTGCCCATGTTTCACTGCCATACAACATTGCTGGCAGTACTGTTGAGTTGAAGAGGCTGCCGCATGTTGCCTTGTTAATTTTTCCTTGGAGGACATCTTTGATAGAACTGAATGCGCACCAACCAGCTTTCTTTCTTTGCGAGAGTTCACCTTCCTGATCGTGGCACATGTTAATTTCTTGGCCCAAATAGACATATTGCTCAACTTCTTCTTTTTGTTCTCCCTTGATTGTTATTTGGACTTTTGGTAAGGTATCAGACCGCATAAATTTTGTTTTGGACGGTTAATTTTCAGTCTGACTTGGCTGCTTTTTGTGTTGAGTTCTCGCAGCATTTTCTGTAGTTTGATATAATTTTCTGTGATCAACCCAATATCTTCTGCAAATCTGAGATGGTTTCATTGTTCTCCGTTGATGTTGATTCCACCCTTCCAATTCATTTGCCTCATTACCATTTCGAGGCAGGCTGTGAAGAGTTTTGGTGAAACCGTGTCTCCTTGTTTCACATCTTTCTTAACTGGGATGCGAACGGGAGTATCAAACAAGGTTATATCTGTAGTGCAGCGCTCGACAGCACAGAGATCAATGCAGTGTTGAAAGCTCTTGCAGAGCAGAGCATCGACACAAACTATATCAAACTATTAAAGGAAGCAAATTCTGATTGCACAATTCATACCATTAGTCCAGGTTATGTATCTCCTGGTTATCTTCAAAGCAATATGGCATATGCTGATGGGAAAAAGATACACTGTTTGAATGGAATTTTGATTCTGAGTAAATATTAACAAAGGCTTGACCCTATATATCACCAAAAATGCTCCTTACAAAAAAAAAGGCATTAAAATGTCAGCAGATGGTAATAACTACCACTATTTAAGATATGTGTTTTCCTATGTCCGTTCCGTGTGTATGTTGCTCGCTAACCCCCTTTTTAATGGTTGCCTTGCATGCATCATAAAAGTAATTTGAACCTAAGTGTGTGAACTGGTAGTGACAGTTAAATCTGGAATTCCTCCCCCTATTCTCCCCTTTGCTTCATTCCCCACTCCCTGCAAAACAACCCCGCATTCCAGCAATGTTATAATTCTTGACACTTTGTATGAAACTTTCAGCTGAGATATACCATCTCCAAAGACATCTTTTTCATGATGTAATGTGGCATGAGGCATCCATTCCCTTCATCCTCCTCCTCCATTCACAGATATCTACATATTTACAGATGGTTAGGCGTATCCTTACATTGTGCTTCTTTGCAGCGTGCATTAATAATACTACGTTTAGCAACTCTCATGCATTAAGTCCCTTGTGAAGAGTGTTGTTGGCACAGTGGCTTTGGGAAAACTTTGATAGGCCCTTTGCCTCAGAAGACATTCCTTGCAGTCCTAAGTGGTTGCAGCAGTTAGGTCAGCACATTGCTCCTGGTATCAAACAGTGGGCTTCTGTATCTTGAGCATGCACGAATTAGAAAAGAAGCAAAGGAGAACAGCTGAGCCGGGCTGCAGAGCGTTCTGACCTATATTAGTGAAAAAAGGCTGCAGGAGGGAAGAAGCAGGAAAAGAATCAAAAGAGACGAGCCTGGACCAACTAGTTGTGCCTGGACTGGAAATACTTTCATTAGAAAGAACAAAAGGAAAAAAATACACGCAACCTAAGGCTCCTTCTACACCAGTTAACCTGCTGGTTGCAGTACTGATCACACTTCCAAAAAAACTGCTAGCAAACAGATTCTGTGACACTCCTGGTGCCAGCCAATTATTATGGAGTTTTACTGCAACAAATGATTTTCTACCTGAAAAGGCAACCCCTACAAAGTGTTAGTAGCAATTTCCTGTGTATGTATTAACTGTGACTTTACCACTGTAGTTAATAGCACGTTACTGCTTTAGACCCAATCAATTAGCCAAAAATTCAGCGTCTTGTGGGTTGTTCCAGTTAGGAGCAGTAATTGGTGATGGAACCAGATGTTTCTTTGAAGCAATACTGTTTATTTACAAAGAATGTACAAAGACCTTTTCCCCCGAACACAGCAGGAATGAAACAACAAGAGACAGCGTCTTTGCTCACAGTAGCAGGCACCTTTTCCAATCAGCACTCAGCTCAAAAGCTGTCTCTCTTAGCTTTTTTTTTTCTTTCCCTAAACTCTCGCTTACGTTTTCTTAAGACCACATTCCCAGTGCTTGTTCTGATTGTGCCCTTGGTTTTTCTGCCCTTGCTCTCTAGTGTTTTCTCTGGTTTTCCACAAAAACACAGACACACACACAACAGCTCCATCAATCAATCCTTTAACCCCTGCATTTGCTGTATCAATCCCGGTAAACCCCTCACCCTGCATGGCATAGCTTCTGACTCAGTCTTGCTAAGTGGATCTGTGTGTTTGGTGGTGGCTTCTATTGTTTCGACTATTACTAACCAAAGGGGCATTTAACTGCGCCATCATTTAGCCTAGCTTCAATGGGGTTTAACCCAATCCATAACAAGCACATATGAAAGGAGACTATGTTTAGGTCTGAAGTAATGTTTATAATGTTTATATTGGTTTTTGGTGATAAGGTGATTTGAGAGTATTAGTCATTTTTTGTTTTATTTTTTTCCCAAAATCATTATCAGATAATTACCCATGTATAAACTGAGTAACATAATAAGAAAACCTCATTATTTTCAATGAACAATCGGTGTTTCTTTTACAAAGTGTTTTCCGTAAAAGATTATATGATAACATGGATATTTTATACACATGGTAGACTAGACAGTTGTATTGTGGCAGAAATAGCGTTCTGTAGGTTCCTCGGTTGATCCTATGCAGTAATGTGAAAAAATAACCCTTGTATTTGCCTTGCTGATATTTTTCAGAGGAAGCACTATTGACATGCTTTTATTCTTAAAGGATGGCTGATAATAGTGCTTTGTGATTCATCAGTTTTTCAAGTTGTATTTGGCTTTATTTTTCTCTCCCTTTTGATTAATTAGGATGGAAAAATAGTTTTTGCAGCAACATAAAATCTTAGGTTCACAACAAAATGAACAGTGTTATAAAAGAAAAAAAGTGCTCACCTCTTTGCCCTGTCTTTCTCATTTTCATCCATGAGATTGTCTAAATAGCTTTTTCTGTTGAAAGAATGCAGAGTTATTATAACTTGTCATGTCATTAGCTCTACCTTCAGGTTAATCTCAGAGTCACTTCTGCTTTACTGTAATAACAGACTGACAGTACCCAAGACAAATAAGTGTGTCAGCAGGGTTTTAAACTCAGTCCTTAATTTTAAGAACCATCTATTGTAGATGTTATGATTCATTATTAATGATTTGTACTGCAATAGCATCCAAGGGCTCCAATCAGAGATTAAGGCCCCATTGTGGTAGGCAAAGTAAAAACACATACCAAAAAGGCAGTCCCTCCTCTGAAAAGTTTACAGTCTAATCTGTCTTCTGTGGATACCTTCTCCAAGTTACTAGGCTAGATCAGTGGTTTACAACCTTTTTTCATTTGCAGACCCCGAAAATATTTCAAATGGAGGTGCGGATCCCTTTGTAAATCTCAGACATAGTCTGCAGAGCTCCAGGGGTCTGCGGACTACAGATGAAAACCACTGCTCTACGGTAATGACAGCCTTTCACGAACCCCTTAGACATAGTCTGTGGACTCCCCCGGGGGAGGGGGGGGCATGGACCACGGGTTGAAAGCTATTGGGCTAGATGCAGGGAGGTAAATATGAAACCCCTCTGCAGACTCAAGGCCCCCTGTCCCAAAGAGAATTCACCCCTGGGGAAAAGCAGGTATTGTTTCCACTGCTGCCTCTCGGGTGGTTCCTCCAGCTGGGGGAAGCTTAAAGTTCCTATAAGAGCTCGGCAGGAACCCCAAAGGGAAAGGTAATATGAGGATGCATTAGGGGCCCAATTCCACAAAGCTCTGAAGCATGTTATTAAGTCCTATTGACACAGTCTGGTTCCTAGAGTACAGGTTTCCACGTTGCAAAAACTAGCCTTGCAACTAACAACATCTGAGACCCTTGTTGGGGTTCACAGAAGATCAAGGTTGGAAGGGACCTTAGGAGGTCATCTAGTCCAACCCCCTGCTCAAAGCAGGACCAATCCCCAGACAGATTTTTATCCCAGTTCCCTAAATGGCCCCCTTAAGGGTTGAACACTCAACCCTGGGCTTAACAGGCCAATGCTCAAACCACTGAGCTATCCCTCCCCCAGTCTCAGCTGCGAGGTCAGGTTGAATGGGCCTGGAGACTGAACTGCCTTCTCACTATCTGACTTGAGCTTAGTTTTTAGAGTTCAATAGGTTTTTAAGCGGTGCAGCTGTCAATGCTATGTTAGACCAACTTGACTTGCCACACAGAAAAAATGCAATCCCTGTGCAAAACTGAACGTGTACCATACCTGTCAGTATTAACCTTTTTGGAACAGAATGGTCAGATACTGACTAAATTCTTGATCTGACATAAGGTGTATGTCCATTACTTCTATAAGAATGAGCAATTTTGAGCCTGCAATAGATACAGACAAGTGCCAGCCATAGCTCATAAGAAGAGTAGGTAAAATAGGTAAATCATGTAGGCAAGACAGGTAAAAAGCCGTGTAAACTCAGCACAGCCGAGGATGAAGCTGTGTCTCCTCAAGCTACGGCTACACTACAGAGCTTACAGTGGTGCAACTGCACCGATGCAGCTGCCCTGCTGTAGCACTGCTAGTGCAGACGTTCTAAGTTGACTTAATTACTCCAGCCCCCGCAGGTGGCAGTAGCTATGTTGGGCAGGAGAAACTCTCCCACCGACATAGTGCTATCCACATCAGCGCTTAGGTCGGTGTAACTTACGTTGCACAGGGGGTGGCTTATTCACACCCCTGAGCCATACGTGCCAACTTTCCCTGGCGCCGGTGGGTGCTTGCACCCCCTGCCCCCGCCCCCGCTCTGACTCCACCCTTTCCCCGCCCCAACCCCGCCCCCTCCCTGCCTCTATTGGACCCCTTCCCCAAATCCCCGCCCTGGCCCCGCCTCTTCCCCGAACACGCCGCGTTCCCCCTACTCCCCCTCCCTCCCAGCCACGCGAAACAGCTGTTTCACAGCGCAAGCGCTAGGAGCTAGGGGGAAAAAGTGGGCACACGGCGCACTCAGGGGAGGAGGCGGAGGTGAGCTGGGCGGGGGGGCAAGGAGCTGCCAGTGGGTGCTGAGCACCCACCAATTTTTCCCCTTGGGTGCTCCAGCCCTGGATCATCCATGGAGTCAGCGCCTATGCCCCAAGCGACATAACTTATACCGATGTAAGCGGTAACGTGTACATAGCCTGATACATTCATTCTCTGTCCACTGCCTGCCCCTCTTTTGCCAAGCGCTCTTTTGAAGAAGGGAGGCTTGAGACATAACACCAAGAAGTGAGGAGACCAAAGCGTCGCATTTATCATTACCTGTGTCCATTCAAGGCATGTACTCCCACTTGTATCAGAGCACAAAACCCTTATGCACCTGCTGCACCCCACGCAAGGATTTTCAGGATCAACAGCACAATGTTTCAAACTTTAGACTTCCTACACTGTCATTTGAAAATTGGCATCCCCTGTCACTAGTCCTTCCATTAAATGATTCCACAAAATTTAGGAAGCAGGATACAATAAAAAGTTAAAAAAGGAGGGCCAAGTTAATGAATATGCATTATTTAGGCCGAATATGATTTCAACATATGATTTTGCTCAGGAATTTTATTGTCTCAAGTCTATTTGTTTAAAAACAAAAATGAAAACTGATCAATGGGAAGAATTATGGATAATTTTGTCAGTAACTAGTAGATAGTCATCCTCCATTAGCTCATGAGACACATGCTAGCTAAGACATATGAGATATATGTGCAAATTATCCTGTTAATTTTTTGTAACAATACAAATGCAACAGGAGGTTAAAAGCTGCTGTTCATTGGTCTGAGGATAAAGCCACCATAGGTGAGAAGCTTAATGGGATTTTAATTGGGTAGTGGAGGATCATAAATAGGAAATACAGAGGGCACGTGTTGGATTTTATTGAATTGGAATTCAATTGGAATTGCTGTGTTCTGTAATCCAGAATATAGACAAAGAAATAATAGTAAGTAGTGCTCAGAAAGCTTTCATACTTTAGCTAATCAGGCTTCACAACACCGCCATGAGGCAGGTCAGTATCATCAGCCACATTTCATAAAGGGGAAATTCAGATAGCCAGCTGAATATTATTTAGCAAATAATTTATTTGACAACATTCATTACCGTTCTAAAATTAATCAACAAATATTTTTTTTAAATTATTCACTGAGCCACAGAGTCAGACTGATAAACCGAACTGACAAATATATTCTCAAATAATATATTTTACAAAGGAGTGACATTTTCAAACAAATAATTCAATAGTTTTTAAAATTATTTGCCCATTGGTAGGAACTGAGGCAATGTGGTTAAATGACTTGTCCAAGAACACAGAAGCAGTCACAGAACCAAGAACTAGAACCCAGAAGTTCCTTGCCTTAAATCCCTAAGCCTTTGCTCAAATCACTAGGTTAGGCCTCTCCACTGTTTTGAACACAAACTCTGATTCTGAGTACTGCAGTAATTGTTACCATTTTATACTTTTTTATTAATGAAGAGGAAAAAGAACAACTGTTTTACTGGATATCTACAGAATACATGGAATTATACTGTGGGGGAAGCATATGCCCATACTCACTGGCAATAGACCTAACTCTTCTGTTCTGTACAGGATTTGGCTTTCTCACTGACTGATGTCACATCTAGGAGCTGCTGTGATGCTGCCAGTATCAGACACTATCCAGTTGTCACTTTGATTCCACATCCATTTGTTGACACAGTCAAATCTCCAGAGCACCTTAAGTGTTGCTAACAACGTTTGTGAGTCTGTATTTGGCATATGAAATTAGAACTGTGCTCAATAAAATAGATATGGCAGAACAAATTATATTTGTTGCTAAATAGTTGTGTCACCCCTCTGAGGAGCTGTAGAAGATGTCTGGGCCTTGCAGGCCAGCTTCCTGTTGGAGCAGAAATCAGTGACATGAAGTCTGGGTATATTCTTAGTCCAACTTTTTTATTTTATAGTATACCAACCAGTCTTTGAACAGAGAGGAAGGAGGTCACAGACAGCACACAGGGAACACCCTCTTTCGGAACTGAGTCCCAGAGATTTCTCTCGTTAGAGTGATTAAGGCAGAGAACAAATGCGTTTGCTCCTTGCAACAGCTCCTCCCAAAAGAACTTGCATCATAAAACTAACAATACAGTATTTCTTCGAAGACTGAACAGTGCTCACACATTAAGAACTTGCAACCCTATGAATAATAGGCCCACCTGCTGACTCCAGCCATAGGAGTACTTAGCAATGACAATCATGTTTGTGCCTTTACTCTTATGGCAGGAGTCAGCAGGTGGATAGTAAGCAAAAGATAGTAAGCAGCTTGAATCAGCAGAGAAGACTATCAGGAGTCTCTCACTGAAGTGAGCCACCAAATCAGTCAGCATTTGAAATTGATAGTCCACAATGAGAACATACCTAAAGAGAAAGAAAGAAACCTTCAGCTCACCTCATGTACATATTGGGACAAATCTTCCTCCACAAAGCTGCCAGAACAGTGTGCTGTGGATTCCCCAGCATGGGAAAATCCAAGGGAGCATAGAGCCAGTGAATTTACCTCTAAGCCACCCCCTTCATAACCTCCACTGGAGGAAGCAAGTCGGGGGCATGTCCAGGGAAGGTGTGCAGTTGCAGTGCTGTTAAGCTCCAGCAATCCCCAGATGGCATAATGGCCCTTGTATGTCTCAGTTTTTAGATGCCCGACTTGAAACAAATTGGGCCTGATTTTCAGGGAGTGGTATATGAATTTGGGTAATTTGTCAATTTACAATTTATAATTCTCTCATTATCAAGCTGCAAACTCCATTTTGAATATGTAGCCCTTTGTCTTCTCCATTGTCTTTTTACTGATTTGTCTGGGGATGGTCTTCTGGCAACCAACTCACTAGGCTGATCTGGGAATTACTAGACAAAGGGACTGAAAGGTTATAAAAGGCAGAAGCTGATCTATTTGGTGTCTTTGGTCACTTTCACCAGCTCAAAAAGAGGG